GATATAGAGTGAGCTTACATTTTTATTCTGGAACCACGCATACACTTCTTTTTTGGCTAATAAGTAAATATAGGCGTGGAAAGAAAAAACCCTATGCCCTTCTTTCTGGTAACTAATTTTGTTGATTATTTTTATTTTCAGGCCCGAGCAAATGCACGTGCCGCTGTTCTAAAAGAACAACTAGAGCGAAAGAGAAAGGAAGCATATGAGAGAGAAAAGAAAGCATGGGAAGAGCATGTAAGATTCACTCCAGATTCTTAATCTTGGTCGTGTTCATGTTCTTCTGTCTCTTCCTTGGTAGTACATCAGCATTATAGTTTTGTAATCTTTTCTTCTCTTTTTTTTTTTTATTATCATTCTCCCTGCCCCCTTGCCCTCTCATCTTCTTGCCCTCTTATCCTTCTCTACCTCTCTCTGTCCCTCTGTGTAGGTCTTTCTCTCTTGCATATTTAAGTATGATCTATGTGGAAGTTAGTTGAGGGTTTGCTTTGAGGTGAGAACCTAGTTTATGTATTTTTAAATTTTTTATTTACTTTTTGCCAAGTAGCTAATCAAAATCCTAGCATCATTTAATAACTGCATCTTCCTTTTGCCACTGATTTATAATGCTGCCTTTAAGATTTATTAAAGTCTTATATATACCAGTGAATGGATCTGCAGCATATATGTATCAAGCTATGTTTTCCTCTGGGCCTTCTCCTCTGCTATGTTATTATAGTGCCTCATTTTATTAGTAATTGTAGATATAGAATATACTTTAATTTCTAATAGAATTCTTTCCTCATTTTCCTTTACTCCTTTCTTAAATTCATTTTTCTTAATTATTTGCTTTCTTTTGCTTTACCAGACAAATTTTAGGGTAATTTTTATTTCATTTTTTTAAAAAATCCTATTGGAATTTTGATTAGTATTATATTAAACCTGCAGATTAACTTAAGAACTGACTGTTTATAATAGTTTTTATATAGGAACATATTAAGTTTCTACATGTACTCATTGTTTCTTTTATATCCCTTATACAATTTTGATCATTTTTTACACATACCTGTTATATTTTTTATATAGGTTATTTCTTATTTCATTTTTTTAAAAAATCCTATTGGAATTTTGATTAGTATTATATTAAACCTGCAGATTAACTTAAGAACTGACTGTTTATAATAGTTTT